TGGAGCTACAGTGGCTGGAGGAGTAGCAGTAGCAGCAGCAGCAGCAGCCGGAGCAGGAGCAGCCGCAGCAGCAGCCACCTCCTCCTCCAGTCTCTGGTCTTCGGACCCTCGGTCTCCCCTCTCCTTCTCCTCCCGTCTCTGGTCCTCCGCTTCCTCCTCCTGACCCCTCCCCAGCTGTTTTCCCAAAACCTCTGCCCCCGTTGTCCCCTCCTCTTTCTCACACTTGGTCTTCGCGTCTCTCTCCTCGTGCTCGTCCCTCGTCCCTGTTCCCTTCACTGACCTTCATACTACCCTGTTTCGTTCTAGTCCACCTCGTTTGTCTCCTTCTGTACTTCCTTGTCCTCCTGAGTCTGCTCTCACTGCTTCTCTCTCTACTCCTGTCACAGAATACTACCGCACGTACCGTCCTGTTCTCTCTCGTGCTCTCGCCTCTCTTGTTACCGACCCATGTGCTTCTCTGTCCTCTGTCTCCGCTCTTACTGCCGCAGTCTCTGAGTTTGCCTCTACTCGCTGCCTTGACTACGCCACCAGTCTTGTGGCTGCTCCTCCTACCAGTCCTCTGGCCGTCGGGGGTTAGTCTGCCCTTGGCTGTGACGCCCTAGAGGACAGGCAGTTTGAGCTGGAGTTCCTGGCAGCCGCTTCCCCTCATCTCTGTGCCATGCTGCTCGCCCTGAGGGAGACCCCGACGCCCTTGACATACCGACTCCTCGCACTTACGCTGAGGCAGTGTCAGGGCCTTGGGCCTCTCAGTGGAGAGCTGCCATGGACTCAGAGATGGCCTCCTACAGATCCTCAGGCACCTACGTCGACGAGGTTCCCCCCCTTAGGGCGAACGTATTCGATGGCATGTGGATCTTCAGGGTGAAGCAGCCACCGGGATCTCCTCCGGTCTTCAAGGCGCTATGTGGCCAGAGGTTTCAGTCAGCGCGAGGGAGTTGACTTCTTTCAGACCTTCGCGTCTACCCCGAAGATGACCACTCTTCGGGTGTTACTGCACGTAGCAGCACAGAGAGACTACGAGTTACACTCTCTTGACTTCTCCACTGCTTTCCTTCAGGGTAGCCTACACGAGGAGGTCTGGTTACGTCGTCCCTCTGCCTTCACTGGCACTTTCCCTCCTGGGACCCAGTGGAGGCTTAGGCGACCGGTCTACGGTCTCCGTCAGGCTCCTCGTGAGTGGCAAGACACCCTTCACTCTACCCTTTCTGACCTTGGTTTCCAGCCTTCTTCTGGCGACCCGTCGCTGTTCGTTTGTCGTGGCTCCACACCGTTCTTTGTAGTGGTCTACGTCGACGACCTGATTTTCGCCACTGCTGACAGGGTTGCTTTGGCTGACGTGAAGCTCGAACTACAGAAGAGACACACTTGCACTGACCTTGGTGAGCTGCGCCACTACCTTGGCCTGCAGATCACCAGGGACAGAGCTGCTCACACCATTACACTCTCACAGTCACACATGGTGCAACAGGTCCTTCAGCAATTCGAGCTTCAGCACTCTACTGTACAGCGCACACCTCTTGCCATTGACCACAGACTCACCAGACCCTTTCCTAACGAGCCAATCGAGCCTAGTGGCCCTTACGCAGAGCTTGTGGGCTGCCTCATGTACCTGATGACTTGTTCTCGCCCGGACCTCGCCTTCCCTCTCAGCATCCTTGCTCGCTTTGTTGCGCCAGGGAGACACCGTCTAGTTCACTGGACAGCTGCTGTGAGGTACCTAGCGACGACATCAGGCATGGGGCTGGTTCTTGGAGGGAGACAGGACGTCGTGCTTACTGGTCACTGTGACTCTTCTTACGCTGACGATGCCGAGACGCACAGGTCTACTCAGGGGTACTGTTTCAGCCTGGGCTCTGGAGCTGTTTCGTGGAGGTCCACACGTTCCTCCTTGGTCTCGACCTCTACTGCTGAGGCCGAGATCTACGTTGGAGCTATGGTTGCACAGGAGCTGCGCTGGCTGACGTTCTTGCTCACTGACCTTAGTGAGAGGCCGAGCTCTGCGCCGACCTTGTTCACTGATAACAAGGCGACGATTCTCCTCTGTCGAGAGCTGCGACTGGAGAGCAGAGTGAAGCACATCAATGTCAGGTACTTTCGTCTGCGAGAGTTGCAGAGGCGTGGACAGGCTCGTTTCGACTTTGTTGAGTCCGAGACCAACACTGCAGACATCTTCACCAAGGCCCTGCCGCCTTGTGACCACCAGAGGTGTTGTATGCAGTTAGGTCTTGTTGACACAGGTTCTCACCTTGCTTAGTCTTGAGTTCTCTCGCTTTGTTTATACACTTTACATATACCTCTGTGAGTTCTTGAACTTGCCTTGTGGCTCTTTTGCTTGTGCTCGGAGTGTGTGGTGACGTTGTGATCCACCCTGAGTTTTGTTTCTTTGTGATTGGTCTTGTGACCGTACACTTTTGGTTTTGCTTGACACCCCTCACTTAGACTATGGGGGTGTGTCAAATGTTGTAGTCTTAGTGATATGCGTTATAGGGGGTACAAATGTTAGGGTTATTTTTATGTACCCCAACCAACCTTAGTCAAACCAACACTTTCATTCTTGACACCATCGCCAACCATCTATTTGGAAATAGGTAAGACGGCGGGAAACCAGGCGGGCAGAAAAAACTTAACCCCATTCGGACTGCATGCCATTCTGGAGCCTCAACCCTAAAATTTTAGGGTTGATGCCTCCTGAATGGCATGCCTTCCGAGTACGGTAGGTTTTTTTTTTTTTTTTTTTTTTTTTTTTTTCTTGCCCACTGACTCATTGCACTGCCTGCTGACGCAGGCAGTGCAATATATTATCCATTTGATGTGTGCCATGTTGCTATCTCTAGAACTGTATGTATGTAGACCTAGGAGTGCGACGTGCTGTATTATATTGTACGTTGTGAGCATTCAGGAGCACAGCCTCTAGATTTTCAGCGAGCCAGTCCATCCTCACCTCACCCTCTCACCTCGGTTCTGCCCGTCACCGCCGCATCAGCACGTTCAGAACCGTCAAGGCCGAGGTTTCTAAGTAGCCTCGAGTGACGTCGTAGCTTCTGCGCGACACCCGGAACGCCCGAGCTTCCAACGCTTCCCGCTTTTGAAAGTCTAAAAGGAAGTTTTTCCGTAATGATCATGGCGTTCAAATGCCCCTTTTAGACAGAGACGACGCCACCAAGGAAGCCGTTATTGCCGCCGTGATGGCCGCTGTGTCCGCAGCAGCCGTTGTGGGGTCGGCATGCCCTCGAATCTGTCACTTTCCGCTTAGTATCACACCGATGGTATCTTCACAACGCATTGCTTTCAGCAGGAATCCTCACAGCAGAGGCAGCAGCAGCAGTAGCAGCAACCACAGCCGTCCATTCGCGAACGCACGTCTCCACTGTGCCACAACCTTCCCGCCTTCATATACCTTCGTTTCCACCGCAAACGTACGAATTAGCAAGAGTCGCTTCAGCGGTAACCATTCATTCGGCCGCAATCGCCGGCTTTGCGGAAGCTGTAACAGGCGGTTGGTCAGAGCTGCCGGGAAATGTCGGATTGCACGGGGAGCGGGGGAACAGGGGGAGGAGGCGGAAGATGCGGACGTGGGGGACGTGGGTGACCTTCAGGCGGAACGCCAGGAAAGCGGATTCAAATGGTCGAGTGAATCCAATCCGGCCGACAAGGGGGTTCAAAAGAGCAAGTTTGGCGAGTCGTTGAGCGGACTGAGGCAGAAACTCGCAGAGAGCAAACGGGTTTCCGCACCTCACGCCCGTGGCACAGGTGGTGGGGAACCTGAGAATGAACGTGGAAAGGGAAAGTTGAGCTGGGAGGGGGAAGGAGATCAGCATAAAGGCGGCAATCTTGTCGGGCCATTAAGAGGGCTAAGACAAAAACTCGCAGAGAAAAGACGAGTCAGAGGTGAGCTTTTAATGGGGGTGGGGGCCCGGGTTAAGAATAAGTTGCAGAGAAGTGTTGGTGGGAGCTCCGGGATTGCCGATGGGGGAGTCGAGAGGGCGGGCGAGGAGGAGAAGGTGATGAGAGGAGAGGGATTTGGAGGGGTAGAGGAGGCCGAGAGAGGCGAGGAAGGCGTTGGGTGTTTAAAAACGAGTCAGGTTGAAACTAGCCAGGTTGAAACTAGCCAGGTTGAAACGAGTCAGACTGGCAAAGGTGGCGGTGCTGGGAGCAAGAGAGCAGCCGTTGCGGCTGCCATGAGAAGAGCTGCTGCTCTGGTTGGCAGTGTGCCTGTTAAACTAAGGGAAAGTGCTGCACCGATAAAAGCGGTGCCTGGTAGGCTGAAAAGAGCTGCTGGCGTGACTGCTGAGGCACCTAGAGTGTTGACCCAGGCCGCGGGTGAGGCAGCTAGAGAGGCTGGGCAGAAGCTGAGTCAGCTGCCGGATTCTGTCTTTGACTTGGGTCAACGCACTGGTCAACGCGTCAAGGGAAGGTTGGGGGACTTGGCAGGTGATAAGATAGGGCAAAAGTTGGGACAACTGCCGGATGCAGTCTTTGACTTGGGTCAACGCACTGGTCAACGCGTGAAAGGCAAGCTGGGAGGCTTGGCAGGTCACAAGGCAGGGGAGCAGTTGGCTCAATTGCCAGATCTTGTCTTTGACTTGGGTCAACGCACTGGTCAACGCGTTAAAGGCAGGCTGGCAGAAGCGGCAGGGCACAAGGCTGGACAGAACTCGGTTCAACTGCCGTTTTCTGACCTAAAATTGGGTCAACAGCCGGATTCTGTCTTTGACTTTGGTCGACGTACTGGTCAACGCGTCAGAGGCAGGCTGAGGGATCAGGCTGGTGGGTGGAGGAAGAGACTGAGTCAACGCTTGGTTGACCGTTCCAATGCAGTGAGTACAGCTGGAGATGTGTTACAGGACAGGGCAGAAACAGGTGAGGGAGCCTCAACAGGTGTAGCTTCGGCAGGTGTTGGAACAGGTTCAGGTTCAAAGCAGACACGTCAGAAGCGGGTTAGAGTGCGGATTCGAACATCTCTAACAGCATCAAAGGAACAGGGGCAGACACCTTTTGAGATGCCTCAAAATACCATTCTAGCATCAAAAGAACGAGGGCAGACGCTCAAGAAGCACGCACAGGCGTTGAAACAGCAGTCCCAGGCGTTGTTGAAAGACTGTTGGCTTCTGAAAGAGGCGTCAAGGTGGAGAGCTGAAACACTTGCAGACGCTACTGCTGCCACTCCTGAAAGAATCCGGGCTTCAAGAAAAGCGGCCACTGCTGCTGTCAGCTTGTCGCTCTTAGCAACCACTGCCGCCGCAGCTGCTGCTGCGGCGGCGGCTGCTGCTGCTCGCGGGGGGTTGGTGGTGGGTTCTGTTGGCGGCAGTGCTGCCTTTGCTCGTCAGATTGCTAGGAGGCGATACGCTGCTGGTGGTGCTGCTGCTGTGGTGGTGGTGGGAGGTGAAGGAGATGCCACTGCGGATGTTGCTGCTGGTGGTGTTTTGTGCGGTGATGGTTGTATCGGTAGTGGTTGTAATGGGGTAGAGAGCCCAGCTGCTGGGGAAAGGGATGGGGATTATAGCGAGGGGAGGCTTGGTGCCAAGGCGGGTGGTATGACTAATGGCAGAGGTGCTACAGTGGAGGACCCACCAGATCCTACTGGACACTTCCAAGAGGCAAAGAGACTAAGGATGGAAGAGGAGGAGGAGAGGGGAAACAGAAAACCGCAAGGGGTGGAGGAGGAGGGGGGAGAGAAGAAACAATCGGGGTTGCAGCAGCTGCAGCAGTGGTGGTTGTCGATACTAGCAGCATGCACCACTGCTCTCAAGGAATCGGTAGGGAAGCAGCTAGCAGGAGGGGTGATGACCCATGCTGCCCGCTGGTTGGCTGGTGGAATCACTGTGATGCTGCTGCTGCTGGCTCTTCTAGTTGCTGCTGCTAGTGCTCTGAGAGGGAGGGGAGGGAAGGGAGGGAGTGGAGGGCTGAGGCAAGGAGAGCAGCAGTTTGTGACCTTTGAGTCGAGACAGAAGTCTCTTGTGGGTGCGAAAAGAGTGGTGTGGCATTTTGAAGAGGGTGCTGCGAGGTTAGGAGCGGTGGATTTCAGACAAGAAGGTGTGCCACGCGGTGCAGCGATGGATGGCCCAAGGGTTGTGTTGTGTGATATGATGAGAGACTGTGCAGGTGGTGGTGATGTAGTGAAGCATGTGGAGCTTGTTTCTTGGAGACGGGGAAGAAATGGACAGGAGCTGGAGGAGACTGCTGAGCAGCGGTGGTGGAGGGAGAAGAGTGGGAAGAGAAGGCAAACAGGAGGAGAGAACTGGATGGCTGGTAGCAGTGGCAGCAGTCGTGATTCTGATAAGGAAAGAATGAGCCGGCATAGAGCATGGGAGGGAGGCAAGGAGAGTGTTAGAGTGGTGAGTGGGAAAGCAGGACAAGTCAACGAAATCAATCAAGTCAACGGGGGGAGTCAAGTGAGGGTCAGTGCGAGTGAGTCGTGGAGACGAGAGCGAGACGAGGCAAGGAGGGTAAAGGAAGAACAAAGGAAGAGGGAGAAGGAAAAGGAGAAGGAAAAGGAGAGGGAAAGAGAGAGGGAGAGGGAGAGGGAAAGGGAGGCGCTAGAGTATGAGATATGGCTGCAGGGAGTGTGGGACGAGGCAGTAGCGCGGGGCATATCGGAGGAGACAGTGAGGGACGCGTTGGAAGGGCTGCAGCCGCTGCCTGCTGTGGTGACTAGAGTGACTGGTGCAGCGGAGGTGGTGCTCACCGCACGGCAGTATGTAGACAGGTGAGAAGCACTCAGGGCATGTAAATAACATGACGTGTATTTTGAGGCGCCTCAAAATACACCTCACTGCACATGACATGGTGAAGGATGTATAGGAAGGGCTGCAGGCTGCTGCAGCTGCTGCTGCTGCTGCTGCTGCTGCTGCTGCTGCTGCTGCTGCTGCTGCTGCTGCTGCTGCTGCTGCTGCTGCCTGCTGTAGTATCTAAGGTTACGGGTGCAACACAGGTGATGCTCTCTGCACGACAGTATGTGGACAGGTGAGCATAGAGAACAAGTGGTTAGAAAACATGTATGCATGCGCAGGGCTCTGGAAGGGCTGCAGCCGCTGCTTGCTGTGGTGGCTAATGTGACTGGTGCAGCAGAGGTGGTGCTCACTGCACGACAGTTTGTGGATAGGTGAGAAGTGGGAAAGATCAATCAACAAGTGTGGTGAGTCAGTGTGGTGAGTGTGACACTGGTTGCAGCAGAGGTGGTGCTCACTGCACGGCAGTATGTGGACAGGTGAGAACTGGGGAAGGTTGATTGTATAACTAGTGTGGGAAGATGGTGAGGTGAGGGAGGCATTGGAAGGGCTGCAGCTGCTGCCTGCTGTGATGTTTAGAGTGCGGAGTGCAGCCGAGATGGGGTGATGGGCTGACAGTATGTGGCCAGGTGAGTGGGTAGCTTGGGAAGGGGAAGGTAAACAACAAGTGGTCTGCCCTTACGTTATGTGTTTGTATGCACCCATGCTTGCCGTACTTGATGGGTGCACAAACGAGGTACTCATTTGTCGTTTGTGGGCTTTAACGGGTATTGTGTTCATCATCCCTTATACTTGAATGGATTGGTTGATTCATGGGTGCATTGCAGGATGGTGAGTGAATCTCGGGTGCTGGAGGGCAGGCAGGTGATGGAAGCTCACAGGAAGCTTCTTGCGGAGATCGAGGAGATATACGGTGTGCCAGCCAATGTGATGACTGCGTTGTGGGGCATAGAGAGCAGGTGCTGTAACGAGGATGGATGTTATAATGAGGATGCGTGTGATTGTGGCATGCGTGTGTTTGTGGCATGCGTGTGTTTGTGGCATGCATGTGTTTGTGGCATGTGTGTGTTTGTGGCATGCGTGTGTTTGTGGCATGCGTGTGTTTGTGGCATGTGTGTGTTTGTGGCATGCGTGTGTTTGTGGCATGCGTGTGTTGGTGACATGCGTGTGATGGTGACATGCGTGTGATGGTGACATGCGTGTGATGGTGACATGCGTGTGATGGTGACATGCGTGTGATGGTGACATGCGTGTGATGGTGACATGCGTGTGTTGGTGACATGCGTGTGATGGTGGCATGCGTGTGTTTGTGGCATGCGTGTGATGGTGGCATGCGTGTGTTGGTGACATGCGTGTGTTGGTGACATGCGTGTGTTGGTGACATGCGTGTGATGGTGACATGCACTCTTATGGTTTCTCTTCTGAGAATTCTCAAAAGCGATGCGAATTTATGGTTGACCTATTGTGCCTGCTGACGTGGCAGCTATGGGAAGAACATGGGCAAGTGGGACGCCATTCAAGCGCTTCTCACCCTCGCGTACCGTACAAAGCAGGTGAGAGGGAGTTAAGGTAGAAGGGTGCGGTGGAATGTGGTGTGGTATGGTGCGGTGCATGGCTGTGAAATTCGGTGCTGTAGTGTAAGTGGAACGCCATCCAGGCTCTGCTCACCCGCACGACACTCCAGCACAACACATTTCCTCGATCCTCGACGGCCCTCCACTGCACCGCACAGTCGATAAAAGCCCTGTCCATCCGCCAGTACCACCAAGGGTGTTCCCAGCAGTGCCTATTGAGCCGCCTTGAAAGCACATCACTCCCACCACCACGCCCTCATTAACCAGTTCCTCCTCTCTTCCCTTCCCTTTCAGCCTCGCCGTGCTGCCTTCTTTCGGGAAGAGCTAATGGAAGCGCTGTCGATCCTCCATCTCAACCCAACCAATTCCCTCGTTTCGCCAGGTTTTTTTTTAGTCGACTCAAAAGTCACCTCGTTTCAATAATACTGCAGCTCAACCCAACCCATTCCCTCGTTTCGCTAGGGCTCTTGAGCGCACCACGCTCCGCACCATCCCCTCTCTCTCTTCTATTCCCTCCCTATCCCCAATCCAGCCTCGCCGTGCTGCTTTCTTCCGGGAAGAGCTGATGGAAGCGCTGTCGATCCTGCAGCACCACCACACCACCAAGGGGCTTTCTACCGCACTGCACTCCTGCAGATCACCTTCTTCTCCCTTTCCTTTTCCTCAATACAGCCCCGCCGTGCAGCTTTCTTTCGGGAAGAGCTGATGGAAGCGCTGTCTATCCTGCAGCTCAACCAAGGGCCCTCCACAGCAGAGCATTCCAGCATGGCACCTCTTTCAACAGCTGCAAGCACAGTGGGAGAAAGGAGGGTGCGGTTGCTGGGTTCGTATGCAGGGGCCATGGGGCAGTGTCAGTTCATGCCCTCATCTTTTAAGGCCTATGCGGTGGACTACGATGGAGATGGCCGGAGAGGTGAGCAGCTTCTGAGTGCGGCTGTTGCTGGGGTCGTATGCAGGGGCGATGGGGCAGTGCTAGTTTATGCCTTCGTCCGTCAAGGCGTATGCGGTGGATTACGATGGCGATGGGAGAAGAGGTGAGGTGGGGGCCTTGAGAGTGGAGTTGCTGGGGTCATATGCAGGGGCGATGGGGCAGTGCTAGTTCATGCCATCATCTTTTAAGGCCTACTCGGTGGACTATGATGGAGATGGGAGAAGAGATGAGTTGTTTCTGAGTGCGGCTATTGGTAGGGTCGCATGCAGGAGCCATGGGGCAGTGCCAGTTCATGCCTTCGTCCTTCAAGGCTTATGCGGTGGACTTCGATGGAGATGGGCGGAGAGGTAAGAGTTTGACTGTCACCCTCATGCCTCTCTTTTCCCCTTCTCCTCTCCCCACTTCAAGTGCAGACATCTGGACATCTGTTCCCGACGTGCTAGCATCAATGGCAAACTACCTCAAATGCAACCGATGGAAACGAGGGGAACCAGTGGGTGCTGAGGTGAGCAAAGGACACCTACTGTGGTACATTGAAGAGTGTTGAAGAACCGATGCTAGTGTTGATGGCAAGGATGGGGTGACACACACGGTTCCCTCATCTCATGTATGCTCAAGAGTGTTGATGGCATTTGACAGGGCAGCAATGCATGCTCTCATGCTTCTTTGATGGTAATTTCATGGTCATTGAGTAACTACCTCATGTGTAACAGGTTGAGGCAATTCCTTGATCCCCACGCGCTGATAGTCAAGAGACGGCTTTCTAGGCGCTTCGAATCTCATCGCTTGCTTCCCACTCCCCTCTCCCCTTCCCACAGGTGGTCCTCCCCCCCGACTTCCTGCCCTCCTTCTTAAAGCCCACCGTGAAACTCACTGTTGCAGAGTGGCAGCAGAAGCACGGGGTCAGAATCGCTGATGGAGGCTGTGGTAGCAGTGGAAGTGGGGAGAGTGATGACAAGGATGGGAGCGATTCCACGTCTCTGCCGCCCGACATGATCGCCTCTCTCGTATTCTCCTCCTGCTGCTCTCCCTTTTGATCTCCAACGAAGTTCAACTTATCACCACATTTGAATCCACTCGATATGATCGCCACTCTCGTATTTCTCCTGCTGCTCTCCTTCACGCATCTCCAATGCATTGCAACTGGCTGTACTACCTTTTGAGTTGACTCAAATGCCACATCTCTGCTGCCCAACATGATCGCCTCTCTCATATGCTCCTGCGGCTGTCCCTTACATGAGCCGCATTGCTACTCACTTGCTCCCCCTCGCAACCATCGCATGACACATGCCCAATACGTTCATGCTTGCTCGCCCACTGGACGTGCCATGTGTCACCCATTCCCTTCCTCCCACCGATCTATCCCAATTCAGCTTCCTCCCTCCCCTTGCCCTTAGCTCCTCCCACTGGCTTCCTTTCCTACCACTGGTATATCCCATAGTACCGTACCCACTGTGATTCGACCGAAAGCAGCTAAGTAAAAGTCTCTTCAATGCAGCTTCCTCCCCCCCCCCCCCCCACCCCCCCCCCTGGCCCGTCGTTGCTCCTACTCCCACCTGGCTTCCACCTCCCCCAGGTGCCACCTCACTTTTAAGACTTCTCAAACCCCATTGCCCCTTCCTTCCACCTCCCCCAGATCGCACCTGATGGTCCAGCTGGTGTCGCTTACCTCGCGTGCCACAACTTCCACATCATCCTGCGCTACAACCCTGCCCAGCTATACGGCTTGGCCATTGCTGAGCTGGCACGCAGACTGGGGTAATCAAGGAGACTTCCTAGTACCGTATGTGGTTCTTGTATAATGTGCATGTGTGGCTCACAAGACGGCTGGTATTTCCGTCTGTTTAAAACAAAGAAAAACTAGAAAGTGCCCATCTTTTGTGTCCCTGGCTGGCAGTCCAATACGGTACGGCATGTTGCTTCCAATCTCCAGGTGCAAAATACAATCACTGGAAGGACAAGTTACAAACGCCTGCACTCTGGTCGGATGTTACAGCCTGATCAAATCGCGCGCTTCAATTATCCTACAGCAATCAATTGGCGAAAGCGACTCTCGAGGTCGGGTCAAACGTCAGCTGGGAACACCTGTCCTAATGCACCTTCTTGCCAGAATCAGAACAGCTCAAATCCTGCAAATCGGCACAAAAACCTAACGCAAATGTCCTACATACACATAGTGAGTGAGCGTTGCTTTCAAAAAAGGTACGGTACCGTAATTCCCATCCGTGTAGTGTACCCTCCACGGATGTGGCTCCCGTGGGCACGAGCGGAGCAATGGGGGTCAGCCAAGACGTGTGCAAATGCCGAAGGCCAATGCCATGCCGGCACTCAGTCGTCGAGGTAGTAGTAGGTGCCGGCATTCTTCTGCTCGCGGTCCTTGACAGATTCCATCTTGTTGATTCGCGGCCGGAAGTTGGTGGGGTCCCTCCTGAACGTGATGTCCAGTTGCTGATGGGGTGGGGGGAGGGGTGTTGATGGTGGGGGGGGGACAGAAGAGACAACAGGGGTGAAAACGGGAGGGAGAAGGGGGTTCCAAGAGTGCACCCTCCAAGGGTACAGCTCCCATGGGCGTGCCGGCACTCTTCTGCTCGCGGTCCTTGACAGATTCCATCTTGTTGATTCGCGGCCGGAAGTTGGTGGGGTCTGTCCTGAACGTGATGTCCAGTTGCTGATTGGAGGGGGTGTGGGGGGGAGAGGAGAGAGAAGAGAGGTGACTTGTGCTCACGGTCCTTGATAGAATCCCTCTTGTTGATGCGCGGCCGGAAGTTGGTGGGGTCCCTCCTGAACGTGATGTCCAGTTGCTGGTGGGGGTAGGGGGTGGTGGGGGGGTTTCGAACAAGTGAGCATGGAGGTGACAATAGAGAATAGAACGAGTTAGTACAAGTGCAAGTTGATGGGTTCCGGAGTGCAAGTTGATGGGTTCCTGCCGGAACGTGCTAATAACTTGCTGGTGAGGTGGGAGGAGGGAAGAGGAGGGAGAAGGGGGATGGGGGAGAAGGGAGGCGGGGGTTGCAGGATGAGTATAATGGTGGGAATCAGGGTGAGCATACGGGTGTGTATGGGGGTGAGAACAGCAATGAGCATCAGGATAACAATGGGTAAGGCACACAGACGTTGGCATGGTCCTTGCAGAACGTGAACCCCAGTCATGACCGCGGAAACCCGCAGCCCTGACGTTTGAGAATCCAAAAAAATCACATCTGATCTGATCATGAACTTGAAAAGTACAGGCTGAACGGCATACCGAGAGGAAGAGAGGTTCATGCCGCTGTGGAGTGACAGGGGCGTGCGAGCAGTGCAGTCCATCGACAGCTGCCCCTCGAACACGATGACGCGGTCCGCCAGGTACGAAGCAAGAGAGAGGGACCACTTACCGAGAGTGCCTCGTAGTCCTGCATAGACGGAAAGAGAGTGCAGTGCCTCATCCTGCAACCCCAGGTACGAGGCAAGAGAGAGTTGAAAAAAACGACATACCGAGAGGAAGAGGTTCATGCCGCTGTGGAGGGACTGAGGAGCACGCGCAGTACAGTCCACCGCAGGCTGCCCCTCGTACACGATCACCCGGTCCGCCAGGTACGTCGCCATGATGAAGTCGTGCTCCACCACAAACGCCGTCTTCTTCGCGTGCAGGATGAACCGCTTTATCACCTTGGCCGCCACAATGGCTGATGGCTAGTCAATGAGGTAGATGTCCGCAGGCTGGGAGGGAGGAAGGGGGTGCGGGGTGTTGGAAGTGGAAGTGGAGAGTCAAAGAGAGGGAAGGGATGAACCCCTTGATGACATTGGCTGCCACGATGCGCTGCTCCGAGTCGAGATAGGCCGATGGTTCATCGATCAGGTAGATGTCGGCAGGCTGGAGTAAGGCAGAAGGGAAAGAAAGGAGAGAGAGGAGGGATTGTGGGGAACAGAGGGGAGGGATGAAGCGCTTGATGACCTTGGCCGCCACGATGCGCTGCTCTGAGTCGAGATAGGCCGATGGCTCGTCAATCAGGTAGATGTCGGCAGGCTGGGATGGGGAGAGAGAAGAAGGAATGTGTGTGCAGGATGAACCACTTGATGACCTTGGCTGCCACGATGCGCTGCTCTGAATCCAGGTAGGCTGAGGGCTCATCGATCAGATAGATGTCAGCAGGCTGTTGAGAAAGGAGAAAGGGGAAGCGGGAACGAGAAGGAAAGAGGGCGAACGCGGGGAGCAGAGCGGAGGGGTGAAGCGCTTGATGTCCTTAGCCGCCTCGATGCGCTGCTTTGAGTCAGGATGGGCTGGCGGCTCGTGAGAAAGAAGGGGTGGGGAGAGGAGGAGCGGAGATGGAGAATGGAAGGGAAGAATTTTGCGGAGGGAGAAGGGGGAGTGTGGGGGGAAGAGGTTGAGCAGCTTGATCACATTGGCTGCTACGATGCGCCACTCAAAACCTAACAAGGAGCCAGTGGGATTGAACCATTCTTGACTTCCCGAGACAGAGAGTCTGGCCACGCGCTGCGGTTCCCCCCTGATGAATTCACCACCTCCTGGTCTAACAGGGGTTCGATCTGCATGGGGCGCAGCACGTCCGTGTTGAACTGCGGGTGGTGGGAGGAGGGAGGGGTCCCACCACCATCCGCCCCTGGACACACCTGGTTGGCCTGTGCCACATACCTTTCCGAGACAGAGCGTGATGGCCACGCGCTGCAGCTCCCCACCCGACAAATTCACCACCTCCTGGTCCAACAAAGGATCAATCTGCATGGGGCGCAGCACGTCGGTGTTGAACTGCGGGTGGTGGAAGGAGTCGCGGATCTTGGAGTGCAGCAGCGCGCGCACGCTGTGGGGGAACTTGGGGCTGATCTTCTGCGGCTTGTACGACACGTTGAACTCGGGAAGATCCTCGGCTTCCTTGCCGGTTTCCTCATCTGGATCCGCCTTCAAGAGACCAGCCTGTGTGATAGGAGGGACATGGGAGATCAAAGAGGGAAGGGAAGGGGAAGGAGAATGAGCACAGGAAGGGAAACTTGGGGCTGATCTTCTGCGGCTTGTACGACACGTTGAACTCGGGGAGATCCTCTGCCTCCTTGCCGGTTTCTTCATCTGGATCCGCCTTCAGCAGACCTGCCTGGGGAGAAAAAGGGAGGGGAGGGAGGGGAGATGCAAGGGACGGGGGGAAGAGACCCGAAGGGGCATTTGAGCTGGTGATTATGAGTAAAGCAGGAAACGGGATTTTAAGGCCAAAAAATACCCCGAAGACATGCATATGAAATTAGAGTTGCTTATCAGCCTTGCGAAAGCATACCCCCCTCCCTCCTACTACTAGCGAGGAGAGAGAGGTCACCTACCCACTCCGTGGTGAAAACTTTTGAGGTGTCTCAAGAGAGGTCACCTACCCACTCTGTGGTGGAAACATGTCAAATTTCCCGCTTGTGAGAATTCTCAAAAGAGAGGTCACCTACCCACTCCGTGGTGAAAACATGTCAAAATTTCCGTTTGCGGCCTACCAGCATGCGGATGAAGGTGGTCTTGCCAGTGCCGTTCTCCCCCAGCATCACCACGATCTGTGAGTCCGTGAAGTCACCCGGCTCCACCGTCAGCTTGAACCCGCCCTGCTTCTTCACCATGCGCGGGTACTTGTACCGATTGTACGTCTTTGCCTCATCTGGGTTTTCAACGGGAGTCTCTGCCACCTGAGATGGGGTGGAGAGGCAGGTGGAAAGGGAATGAGCGCAGGGAAGGAGGAGCTTGAATCCGCCCTGCTTCTTCACCATGCGCGAGTACTTGTACCGATTGTACGACTTCGCCTCGCCCGGGTTTTCAACCGGTGTTTCAGCCACCTGAAGGGCGAGGGAGGGAGAGAGATGCCTGAGATGAGAGGACGGGGACAGAGAAGGGGGGGAATGGGAGCGTGATTTCAGGCACTTACAAGCAAGATGCTGATTTCCATTGCATCATCAACGAGTTTTGAGGTGTCTCGGAGAGACAAAGACAAATATGAATATATAGGCCCGAATACAGCGAAGAAAATGCTGATGGCCTCTTGCACTGCGAAGAAATAGCCACGTGATAATAAAAGTATTTGAGACGTCTCAAAACACAAGAGAATGCTGATGGCCTCTTGCACTGCGAAGGAAACCTCCCCTAATGCAAGGAAGAGACGCCCTTCCACAAGGAGGAGCCCGCAAGGAAGAGAAGAGAAGCTGACTCACCCTGAAGGTGAGGGATTCGTCTCGGAAACGCAGGTTCTCGGTCGGTCAGATCGGTGCCCGAGAGGGAAATGTTAATTTCCTCGCGGATGGAGAAGGGCGTTACTCTTCTTTTTGAGTCTGACCACTGAGGCATGGAGGAGACATCCAGACACCCTTTCACAGGTGGGGTCACAGAAAAGCCCACTCAAACCACTCTTGAGGCGCCTCAAAACAGGGGGGGTCACAGAAAAGCCCACTCAAACCACTTTTGAGGCGCCTCAAAACAGGGGGGGTCACAGAAAAGCCCACTCAAACCACTTTTGAGGCGCCTCAAAACAGGGGGGGTCACAGAAAAGCCCACTCAAACCAGGCTCACCCTGAAGGTGAGCGACTCGTCTCGGAAGCGCAGGTTCTCAGTCGGAACGAAGCCAGCCAGGAAGATGTTGATTCCCTCTCGCACTGAGAAGGGCAGCGTGACCACCCCGTAGGCGCCCGGCTTGCCGTAGAGGCAGCAGATGAAGTCGGAGAGATAGTCGAGCACACTGAGATCGTGCTCCACCACAATCACGTATCTGGAATGAGGGGTGGGGGTGTGGGGCAGGCGGTGGGGGGTGCATGGTTGGTAGGGGCAGCGTGCGTCGGAGAGATAGTCGAGCACACTCAGGTCATGCTCCACCACAATCACGTATCTGGAATGAGCGGTGTGTGGGGCAAATGGGAGAACGAGGTCGTATGGGGCAAGGGTGATGGGTATAAGGGGCAGGTGTGTTGGGTGCATGAGAGGTAGGCAGCAACAGATGAAGATATCCGTCGCATGTGACCGCAGCAGCAGCTCACCTATCAGGGCGCATCAGTGCTCAGTGCTCACCTGTCAGGGCGCAGCAGCGAGCGGATGACCTGCGCTGCCTTGAGCCGCTGCCGCACGTCCAGGTAGCTGGAGGGCTCATCGAACATGTAGATGTCTCCCAGCTGCCCCGCCACCACGCCGATGGCAAACCGCTGCAGCTCCCCACCCGACAGATGCTCCACCTCACGATCAAACACCTGAAGCAGGGGAGGGTGAATCAGGTTGAGGGGGTTTAGACACCATGCTTCCCAGCTGCCCCGCCACCACCCCGATGGCAAACCGCTGCAGCTCTCCCCCTGACAGGTGCTCCACCTCACGCTCCCACACCTGGAAAGCCAAGGAAGGGTGGGGCGGAGGGGTGGCGTGGGGAAGGGGAGAAGGCTCATCGAACATGTAGATGTCTCCTTGTTGCCCCGCCACCACGCCAATGGCAAACCGCTGCAGCTCACCTCCTGACAGATGCTCCACCTCACGCTCCCACATCTGGACGAGGGAAGGGGAGAGAAGGGAAGGAGAAGGAGCAACAACCCACCTCATATCCCACTGCAGAAAGCTAAAGCCCAGCAGCCCTTCCCCTCGCCTCCTCACTCTCGACGCCCAGCAGTCCAGCAGAACAGCAGCTCAACAACCCCTTTGACTCCCTCTCATCCCTTTAAACCGTCTCTCGCCGCTTTGAACCCCATCGCACTTGCTTGAGCTCAAGCACTTCAGACAGCTCCTCCTTTGCCCTCACACTCGTCCTTCTCTGTCAGCACCACTCCCACCTGGCCCCAACAACGCTGCCCTGCTCGCACCTCCTTCCTTGAACCCCCTCTCATCCCTTTGAACAACCTCTCACCCCTTTGAACCCCCTCTCACCGCATTGAACCCCCTCGCACCCGCTTGAGCTCCAGCACTTCCGACATCTCCTTGGCATCACGCTCGTCCTTCTCTGTCAGCACCACGCCCACCAACCCCAACAACGCTGCCCCCCTCGCACCTCCTCCTTCCTCTAAACCCCTCGCACCCCTTTGAACCCCCTCTCACCGCATTAAACCCCATCGCACCTGCTTGAGCTCCAGCACTTCCGACAGCTCGTCCTTGGCGTCACGCTCGTCCTTCTCTGTGAGCACCACGCCCACCAACCCCTTGACCGCCTTGGGAATGTGATCCACGTATTGCGGCTTGATGATGGCCTGGGGACAAGGCGAGAAGTGAAGGCGGAACGGAAGGGGAGATGCGAACAGGGGGGCAGGGACGTCGTTTTGGGGCCTCTCTGTAAGCACCACGCCCACCAGCCCCTTCACGGCCTTGGGACTGTGGTCCACATATTGTGGCCTGCGGGGGCGAAGAGGGAGATTGGAGCGGGAAGGGGAGGAGGGGGTCGGATGAGAATCAGCCAGGGACAAGGGTATTCTGGTGCCTCAATAACCCCAGCTCTGTGGAAAAACGCGCCCACCAACCCCGTCACCGCCTTGGGAACGTATTGTGGCTTGATGATGGTCTGAAGACCAGGAGGGAAAGGAGTGGGGAGGGAGAATGGAACACACACTTCCCTTCAGTCGCAACCCACTTACCTCCCTTGGATGCAAACCTGCATGCTTCCCTTGCACCGCACCCCACCTTGAGGTTCTCTTCCATAATGCAAACGAAGCAAGTTTGCAGCTCAGTCAGTGTCAGTGTCAGACACCAACTCAATGTCAGACATACACCTGCGTACCCCTTCGCACCGCACCCCACCTTGAGGTTCTCTTCCAAACTGCAAATGTAGCAGTTTCGCAGCTCAGCTGTCAGACCCCACCCAATGTCAGACCCAACCTCGTACCCCTTTCCACCGCACCCCACCCACCTTGAGGTTGTCCTCCAGAATGCGAGTGAAGTAGTTCTGAAGCTCCGACCCTCGGAAGTAGGTCAGAATCTCCTGCCAGTCGGGGGGGTTCTGCACGCACAGCAAGCACGGCACACAGGGGCGGAGAATTGGGCGGAATAAGATGGATGCTCACAGCGAATTATACAGCTCCTACCCTCGGAAATAAGTCAGAATCTCCTGCCAGTCATAATGTTTCTAAACACACAAAACGGGCAATACACAATATGGGCAGCACATACAGGAGGAGGGAGGGGGGAGGGGGGGGGGGAAGGGATTGGGGGGGATGAGACGGACGATTACGGCAAACCTGCGGCTCAGACCCTCAGAAATAGGTCAAATAGTCTTGCCAGTCAGGGGTTTCTGGAGTCAGAATGCGAGCACATCCATGAGGGAAGGGGGGGGGGACTATTCTGGGTTTTTTTTAAGGTAGTTCTGCAGCTCGGACCCTCAAAAGGAGGTCAGGAAGTCCTGCCAGTCAGAAGGGTTCTGTGTGCGAAACGTGGGAAATTCATAAGGGCGTGGGGTCAATAATAGAGACGACAGAGGGGAAGAGGAGGGATATTTGGCGGGGGAGGGAAGAGGAGCGGGTGCACATGCAAGGGGAGAGGGAGAAAGAGAATGGGGGGTGGGGGGAAAGGGAGGGGGAGAATGTGGAGCAGATATGTTAATGATACGAGGAAGAAGACAGGGCGAGGATAGGAGTGACAAGGACGGCTGGCTGTTCACATTGAATCGCCCGAGGTTGGGTTTGAGCTTCCCTGCCAGCACCTTGAGCGCCGTTGACTTGCCAATGCCATTCGTGGTGCCTTTTAAAGCACCTCAAAGAGAGTGAGAGGGCGGTTGGGTGCTCACACTGAATCGCCCGAGGTTGGGTTTGAGCTTCCCTGCCAGGACCTTGAGCGCCGTTGATTTGCCAATGACATTCGTGGTGCCTTTTCAGGCGATTCAAAGGGAGGGAGTGAGAGGAGGGAATGGGCGGTTGGGTGCTCACACTGAATCGCCCGAGGTTGGGTTTGAGCTTCCCTGCCAGCACCTTGAGCGCCGTTGACTTGCCAATGCCATTCGTGCCCACCAGACCCAGCACCTGGCCTGGCCGCGGCACTGGCAGCCTGCAGCGGTGGTAGTGGGGCATAAGGCGGGAAGGTCGGTTGTCAGCGATTCTGCGGACTAAATAGGTGCTAGCACCGAGAGCCTATCAGCCTCGTCTGGGACATCACATGCGTACTTGGAGGCTGAAGCGGATTATTGGCTAAGATCCTGTGCGGCTGACACGTGGACGGATCCACATGAGACGGGCGGATGAAAGGGAGTCGGAGAACGCCAGGGACGGATAGGAGATGATGCGTAAAACCCCAAACCCTGGACGAAGCTAGACAAGACAAGGCAACTGCACGCGCCGATTCGTACGCCTAGCGCTGCTATGAAGGTGAAGGTCGGTGCAAGAGGGGGTCACTACTAGTGTAATGACTCGAGTGCAGCAGCGGCCGCCTGTGATGGGCTCGAAAGAGAGCTTGATGTGTGTCAAATGTGACGCCTGCAGCGCATGACCTCAGTATACCCTAGCTCTGCTGCCAATGCCAGACCTAACCCTAGTCTGGGGCGTTGCGCGGGACACCTCGACGAACCACCACGTGTGAAACCGATAGCACTGCAGATGCGCCATGAGAAGGCGCCTCAAAGCAAAACCCTGCCGAACCAGATGTGTCACTGGGAACGCTGCGGATAACGTAGTCGAACCCCGGCGTTATTGGGTGGCCTACTCTACACCCAGCAAAGTAACGGCTCAATCTCGTCTGCAGCGTAACGGCTTGCAACACTAGAACGTCGACTATTTAGCGGCCGCGGAGCCTAGCCTAGCCTGTGAAGCAACGCGGGACTGGCACTGAAGGTGCTAACGTTAACGTTATCAGTGAAGTTTGAAGCTGAGAACTCTGACGTCACTCGGAACCTGAAGCCGCGGATTTTGGCGTCACCTGTGGAGCTTGAAAGTGTTGGGGCCGTAGCGATGTGTGGTGTCCTTATCGAGGTCCTTGGGCAGATTGATGATCTCAATGGCGTCGAACGGACATTTCTGTCACCACAGACCACAAAAAAACACAATTTCTGACCACGCCCAGAGACTCTGAGAAATCGCATGTCGACTTCGATAAACGAAAGTGATATCGCGAATACCGAGGCGAAGTAACTGTTATCAGCGCCGATGCTCACCTTGACGCAGATACCGCAACCGATGCAGAGCTCTTCGGAAATGAAGGCGATTTTGGAGGTGGAGCCGACCTCGATGCATAGCTTGCCTGTGACAAGCGAGTCAACGAGTCAACGGGTCAACGAATTAACGAGTCAACGGTCAGGGATATCGAACGAGTCAACGGGTCAGGGACATTGAACGAGCCAACAAACCAACAATCAGGAAGAACGGGTCGGAGACAAAAATAGTACACGGATGGGACGACCGTGCACGAGAGGGTGAGGAGAATCATGGGGAGAAATCGGAACAAATATAGTATCGACGTTGAGACGCAACCGAAGACAAGGCTAAGTCGAACTGATAGCGCGAAACTGAGGGGATATTGCCGACGGGTCGGAAGAGGAGGGAGCGTTGCAGCACCCGAGAGAAACCATGATCAGACTCGTAAATGTAACTAGGGGGCGAAAAACGAGAGAACGTGGGAAGACTTTGAGGAGGCTCAAACGGCCACCCGAGGAACAGAGTGATCGGATTCGTGGAATCTAACGAGAAGGCGGAGAGGAGAAATAACGATAGAAAGAGAGAAGGTGGGTGGGATGGCGACAACGGTACCAGTCTTGACGACTGGACAACTCTTCTTGCACTCCTGCCGACACTTCTTAGGCTTGCAGCGATCGCCGCTCACGATCGCAATACGCGTCAACCGATCCGCCATGCCGTATCTACAGTATTGGCAGCACTAAAATTCTTACAGATTTTTAAGTATACAAGCTACCCGCGACTTAAGATACGAACACCAGAAGCTCCCGCGACGGCCTGAGGTAATTAGCTACTACAACCTTGCCGGACAGAACAGAAGCCTGCAGCAGTCCTGCGAGGCAAAGGGAGCATCAAGGAGCTGCGAGCTCCTCTTATTGTTTGTTGGCTTCTCTCCCCTACAAGCAGCAGAGGACGCAAAGCCCAAGGTACCGATCCAACCAAAAACGCGGATAAGGGCATCGCGTGTTCTTGGTGGATTGTGGAACAGAGAGATTCCTTGTGAATTGGCGATCAGGCGGTTGATCCTCAGCCGCAAGAATGGTATTTGGAGTTACCGAGGATGAAGACAAGGAAGGTGTTCATGATATACCTGGTGTACGTGAGCACCTATGGCATTTATTAAAACACCCCCTCAGCAGATATTGCACCTGGTCTTCTCCGTATGCAAGAAAATTTAAGGTGGTAATGAAATTTTATTATTAATACATAAAAAAATCATAATATAATATAATTTCCTTGCACATTATTTGTGTATGCATTTCAATACGATTGAATAAATTACAGAGAAAATTTCATTCTAGAACTCAAACTTCACATATTAATCTTAGTTTTTTGTGCAGAAGTGGGTCTTCAGAGAATATTAAAATCATATGATATTTGAGAATGTATTTACATGCTTGTGGTTGTAACGAATTACTACGTCGCGTAACCCTCTGACATCATCTGTCAGCAAACAAGCCATACCGCTTTGGTTGATAGGTGTCTTCAAGGTTCGCGCTTTTCGTTCTGAAACTGATGGTGTGAGCGGGAAACTGGCGCGATCAGGCACCTTGAGAGTGTCTCCACCAATTAGGGTGCGGACTTTTCCGCACTGCTCTGGTCCAACTGCCTGGGAGCCAAGCCGACCAACCCAGGCACCTCAAATTAGCCTGCTTGAACGTCAATCCCAAGGCGGTTCGAAAACCAGGGTCAAGAGCCACACAGTCAAAGATGAGGTTGATGGAAGCACACTCTTGATCTACATTCAGAGGTCTAGTTCGGTTGGTTCCGCTCCCAAGCGGTAAATACCATAATACCTTGTTTACCGTGTGTAAATCGTATTGAACCGCACTAGCGATAAGTGGAGTTGAGGAGCGGGGTGTGCAAATCATCCTTGAGCAGCAAGGCAGCCAGGCAAACGAGTCAGGAGGAAGCCTGACCGTTGTTGGCCCTCTTCACTGACTCGGCAGGGATGCAGGACTTCATCTCTCAGTAGCTCCTCTTTCCTTGCCACGCCTTAGTCTCCTTGTCTGTTATGGATAGACAGGGTGGAGCAGAATATTATATTAATGTGGAAAGATTTACTAATTAAGTTATACAAACCGCGTCCGCGTGCTGCTAGTCCGATAGATATTAAGCAGTTTGCGTCATGTTGGCTAAAAAACGGATTGGTTGAGGTGCAGTCCGTTTAATATTAAATATTTTTAGTAGCGGAAATTCGAACACCGGACAGGATGTTTAAGGCGTTTGGGTCCAAGAAGGAGAAGTTCGAGTTCCGGTTTAGGTTTCATGCTACTCGGGTAAGCAACGGTCAGCGTTTCATCCGGTACTTACTGTCAGCGTTTCATGCACATTCAGCTGCGTCTGGATAGCCACGTTTCAAGTATGCGTCGTTTAACTTAGAACTACGGTTTCCACTGTGCACTTGGTCTCTGCATTAGCACGAGCATTAGGCTTCTCACATTCACCTGTTTCATTTGGGTTTTCCACCCGTCCGGGTCAGTGAGCCTTTATCAGAGTCACAATCGTTGCTTCCCTGGAGATCGCTTCAGGTTGGCGAAGGCACTTCTTCCGGTAGATACCCGAACAACAGGCCTTTCTCCACTTCTTTCACTCTTAACTCACGCATTTTTCTCGTGCGCGCGCTGCTGGACCAGTCCTTGCAACACACGGCAGGTACCAGCGACGGGGTGCGAGAGGCTGGTGGTGTCGCTGATTTTCAGGACACGGGACCTCGAGGAGCAGACACATAAGGGGGTCCGTCCGTTTCTAAGCCGCGTCTGAAATAGCCAACAGCTGAAACGCGTTCTTCCATTTGTATTCTATTCGTCCTTGAAACACACGGCAGGTTCCGGCGACGGGGTTCGAGAGGCTGGTGGTGTCGCTGATTCCGGTGGACACGGGGAAACTCGAGGGACAGACGCCTAAGGGGGTGGTGAAGAACGGCACGTGCACATGGACCGACACCGTCACCGAGGTCACTCGCCTCGCCAGGAACCCCAAAGGGAAAGGCTTCGAGCAGAAGGTGTACCGGCTTATCGTGTCCACGGTGAGTTTTGGTTTACTTAAAACTCACGGAGGTGCACTGGCTTGTGGTGTCCATCCGTGGTGAGCGCAAGGGTGATTTTTGTGGAGTGAATTTGACCATCACGCAGCCAGTAGACGCGTTTTTTTTATCTTGCAACTGCGAAATGTGCAATCGAGATTAGTAGTACAAAAATACTCCAGATCCCTACTCACTCACTAGAGGCTCAGGAGTGCGTTGACTTCTGTTTTCATTTCTTCAATCTTTGAATTGTGTGACGCTGAAATTTCCTTCATCTTTGGCGTTTGTTCATCCTCCGCTCATTTTCTGACCTCCGCTGTACGCGTTACAGGGCTCCACGCGAGGCGGCATACTGGGCGAGGCGACGCTGAACCTCGCGGACTTCGCAGGCTTTAACCAGCTCGACCAGCGCGCGCTGCCGCTCAAGTACTGCCCCGCAGGCACCGTGCTGCATGTGAGTGACCGTGCATTGCGCCGGATAGTGCGCATCATTTCTGCGTGGTTGGTGCGAAAATCAGCACTGCACTTCCCTTTGACCTCCTTACCTTGTGTGCTTTGTTCTTGTATTCCCTCATGTTTCCTGCACGGTTTCTGAGGTGCCGTTGAATTGTAGAACGAAGTATTTGTGCTTTTCTCTGCGTTTCCTCCTGTTTCCTACGCGGCCATTGTGTTTCAGGTGACCATTCAATGCTCGTCTCGCGATCCCAGGTCAGCCATCGCACCCTTGAGTCTCTATCCCCCTTCATCCCTCCTTCCCAACCACTCTGTATTCAGCATCACTCCGTAACTACCATGATCGTAACCAGCTCGCATTGCAACTTCCTATTGGTTAATTGCACTCTTCGGCTCAGAATCCATAGGCGTGGGGGTCATAGCCTCTTCCTTTCCCTCACGTTGTCGAGCCTTATCTTCGCTTTCCCCGCTCGTCACCTTGCCATGACGCCCTCTCGATCCACTGACCATCATGTGAGTTTCAATCCTGATCGTTCCCATGTGGCAGGGAGGGCGAGGAGTCAGACACGGGGCAGAGCGAGAACGAGGAGGAACTCACGCCCAAGAAGCCAGCCGGCAAAGCAGCAGCTGCTGCTGCTGTAGGGGCAGGCGCAGGAACAGGCGCAGCAGCGGGCGCAAGGGGAGCAGGGGGGGCAGCGGGCGGGGTGCATGGAGCGGCGGCGGTGGGGCCGAAGCGGATGAGCAAGAGCAAGTCGGACGCGAGCGACGTGCTGTCGAGCATCGACCTGCCCAACACCACCACGCCCACAAAGGGGCAGGTGAGTGCAGCACAGGGGTGGGTGGCAAGTGGAGGGTAGGCGCAGCAGGGGACAAGGTACCGGTAGGCCTCGAGCATATCTGCAAGGTTCGGACGCGAGTGACCAGGTGCTGTCGAGCATCGACCTGCCCAACACCACCACGCCCACCAAGGGGCAGGTAGGCGCGGCAAGGGCTAGTAGATAGGCGCAGCAGGGAGACAAGGTAGGCCTGGCGCATGTTTGGAAGGTTTATCTGTGATAGGTCACGTGCTGTCGAGCATCGACCTGCCCAACACCACCACACCCACCAAGGGGCAGGTGAGTGCAGCAAGTTTTTTCATCCCTTGAGCAAGCTTCTTGGGTTCAATTTCTCAAATGCTATGAGCCTACAAGAAAAGTTATTGCACTCTCAGCCTACAGGGTAACGTTTTGCCTGTCCCTCTATCTCTCGGACTTGCAGAAGCACTACCACGCGAACGAGCCAACTAACAATCATCACCATCACCGCCAGCATTGATAAACACATTTTCTGTCCCTCTATCTCTCGGGCTTGCAGAAGCATTACCACGCGAACGAGCCAACCAACAATCATCACCATCATCGTCAGCAGCAGCAGCAGCAGCATCAGCAGAGAGGAGCCCAAGTTGCAGCGACCCCTTCAATCGGTCGCTCTTCCAGCCTTCCGTCGAATCAGGTCAGTTGAGAATCCAACTGCTTTCTTGTAAAACAGTTGGGGTGGTAGGGGAGAATAAGGAGGAAGCGCGATTGCACTGCTTTTGGCTTAGAACCCGCTAAACGCCTTGCTTGCATGACACTTCTCCCCGCGCTTGACTCCCCAGGATGACAACGACTCAGCGGATGCCCTCTATGAGCGCAACAGGGGCAGGGGCGCAGCAGCGCACGGGGGGGAGGCGCAGGCGCGCGCGGGCGGCAAGGAGCGTCCTGCGGAGGCTGAGGGGTTGCGTCTCAGTGTGGACACGGACGACGCGGGGGGCGGAGGCGGAGGCGGAGGGGGGATTTTCTTCTGGCGGAATAAGGACGCTTCCCCGCGCCATGCGTCCCCACTGCGCGGACGGTTTGGGCGCGACCCTTCCCCCGCGCGCGTGCATGCGCAGGTGGCGGAACCGAAGGATGCGGGGAAGGAGAAGCAGCATGGGGCGGTGAGAGTGAGATCGCAGTCGAGAGGGAGAGAGAGAGAGAAGGAGAAGGAGAGGGAAAAAGAGAAGGAAAGGGAGCGGGAAAAGGAAAAGGAGAGAGAAAGGGAGAAGGTAAGGGAAAGGGAACGGGATAAGGATAGGTATAGGGATAGGGATGAAGATAGGTACAGGGAAAAAGAGAGGGAACGAGAAAGAGGCGGGGACAGGTACAGGGAGAGAGAAAGAGAGAGAGACAGGAGCAGAGGGAAAGAGCGGGAGAGGGAGAAGGAGAGGGAGAGGGAGCATGAGGAACGTGAGAGGCTTAGAGAAAGAGAAAAGGAGCAAAGGGAGAGGCTAAAGGAACGCGAGCGGGAGAAAGAGAGGGAGAGGAGGGAAAAGGAGAGAGAAATGGAGAGGGAGAGGGAAAGAGAAAGGGAAAGGGAGGCAGAGAAAGTAAGGGAGCGAGAGGCTAAGGAGAAAGAGAAGCAGCGGGAGCTGGAGCTGGCAGCAAAAGAGAGAGAGCGGCAGAGACAGGAGCAGGAGGAGAGAGAGAAAGAGAAGGAGCGGGAGAGAGAGGAGAGGGAGAGGGAGAGGGAGCGGAAGCGGCAGGAGCAGGAGCGGCAGCGGAAGCTCTTGGAGGAGCAGCAGAGGGAGGAGATGCGGCAGGCAGAGGAAGAATTGGAGGAAGAAGCGAGGCGGGTGAGAATGGAGCGCGAGTGGCAGCGGCAGCAGCGGGAGGAGGTGAGGCGGCGCCAATACGCCTTAGACTCTGCCTCAGACGGAACCTCTCAGGGGGGCATGCCGGATGCCTTGTCGCCTGGGCTCACCCCGTCCGTGGGCGCGACTGGGATGGGGTACACAGGGATGGAGGGGAGCGAGTATGGGGAGAGGACGCCAGGGGAGATGACTGGGGAGAATGAGTATATAGATGAGCTGCAGGAACTGCAGTCGCCTGGCGGGATGGGGTCTATGGGTGGCGGCGGTGTGGGGGGAGGAGGTGGGGTTACTCCTATGACTGGCATGTCGCCCCGTGGAGCGTTGGGAAGCTGGAGTAACGTTCCGGGGGGAACGCCTCAGACGCCAGTTAGTATGGTTGGTAGCACCGGCACGGTTCCTGGGACTGCTGGCACTGGCGCGGGGTATAATCCCGCGTGGGCGGAGTCCGGCGGGGCGAGCGCGGCAGGCGGGGGGATGGGCGCGGGCGGGGGTGGTCCGGGGGAGGGGCACCTGGTTTCCCCGCCCTCGAGTATGAACTCGTCGCCTGTGGCAACTCCGCAGCACCAGCAGCAGCACCAGCACACGCGCCTGGCGTATCCTGAGTACTACCAGACGTCTGGTAGGGCAGGAAGCGGGGGAGGCGGGGGGAGTGCTGCTAGCGGCGCGGCCAGCGCCCTGTATGGGAACCACCACCAGGGGGGAGCGCGCGGGGGAGGGATAGGGGGAGGCAGCGGAGGGGGGGGCAGCGCGGGCGCAAAGGGGAACGGCGCGCTGCCCTCGCCCAGCGCAGGCGCCATGTCGCCTGTCCCTGCTGGTCCCATCCCCGACGGGTTCAGCCCCTTAGGCTCAGTGGGGAGTTCCCTGACGAACCCTCTCGGGGCAGTGCACGGGCGCGGCGGAGGAGGCGCGGTTATGCGGGACTACCCGGGGGAGCTGGCGGCGGCGGAGGCGGCTATAGAGGAGCTGCAGCGGGACTGCGTGAAATACCAGCTGAACGCGCGGAATCTCACCAGGGAGGTGGAGAGTCTGAGGAGCCAGCTGGCTGAGGCGATCACGCAGGACCAGAGGGCTGATATTGCGATTGGGGAGTTGAAAGGGGAGAGGGATCAGCTTCAGGAGGAGTTGAACCAGCTGCGGATGGGGCGGGGAGGCGGGGAAGTGGGCGGCGGGGGGATGGGGGAGGGGAGCGAGTGGAGCATGGGCGGACCCGGGGGCATGCGCGGGGGGATGGGGGGCGGCAGGGAGGTGGAGATGCTGATGGAAGAGGTGGAGTATCTCAAGGGCACGGTTGATAGCTTATCAGCGCAGCTGGAGGTGTTTCAACGGGATAACGTGGAGCTGTCTAAGTCGCTTGAGGAGGCGGAGAGAGAGGCGGGGAAGTACAGGCGGGACGCGGAGGAATTGTTTGAGGATAGGCGGGAGGCGCAAGCGGTGGCGAAGCGGCTGCAGAAGCAGATGGAGGAGAAGGAGGCGGACTGGAACCGGCGGCTGGCGGAGCTTGCGCAGGGGAATGGGGGGATGGACGGGTTGGGTCTGAGCGGGTTGGGGGTTTCGAAGGGGATGGGCGGCGTGGGAGGGAGCGTGCAGTCATCGGTTAAGAGGAGTTTGTTTGGCGGGGCGGACAGGCGCGCGGGGCTGGTTCCGCGGAACCTGAGGGATGAGCTGGAGCTCGCGACGGAGAGCGAGGGGGAGGTGCGGGGCGGCGGAGGCAATAAGCGGTACGCGGGGTATGACGGGCAGGAGAGTAGCGGGACGGCGGGCATGACTTGCGATGAGAGTGTGCTGTTAGAGCTCCAGCAGAAGGTGGAAGAACTGGAGAAGGAGGCGCAGGAGCTTACAGCAGAGAGTCTTGAGTTAGCAACGGAATTGAACACGGCGAATAAGGAGGCCGAGCAGAAGGATGTGTTGATCGAGCAGCTGAAGCAGGAGTTGGTCGCGGCGAGGGGTGGGAGAGGGCTTCCGGCGAGTATAGCGCAGCTGCTCCAGGCAAAACCCAAGCCTAAGCCGTACCAGCCTGTGCAGCTGCGGCAGCAGCGCCCGGCGCCGACCCCCCCGCCTGCTCCCCCTGCCCCCTGCTTGTGTCCGAAATGCTCTGAGCCTTCCGCCCCTGCGCTCTGCGCCAAGTGCACTCCCCCTCCCCCTCCCCCGCCCCCGCCTGTGGCACCGACTCCGCCTCCGCCCCCGCCCCCTCCCCCTGCTCCTGTAGAGGAACCTACGAAACCAGAGGTCGCGGTGAGGGCTGTGAGCAGCGAGGGCGGAAGCAGCGTGCAGGAGGAAGATGCGCGGAAGCTGCAGGCGCGCGTGCAGGAGCTGCTGGAGCAGCTGCGGGGGCAGCGGGCGGAGGCGCAGGCCGCCAAAGAGGAGGTGGTGCAGCTGCGCAGCAAGGTGCGCGTCACTGAAATGGCCACCCAGAGAGCGAATGACAGGCTTAGCATCTTAGAGGAGTATGAACGGAGGGCTCGGGAGGTGGAAGCGGAGCTTGAGAGTACCAAGAAGCTGCTGGCGGCGGGGCGGCGGGCGAGGGAGGAGGCGGAGAGGAGGCATGAGCTAGAGGTGGAGCATTTGAAGGAGGCGCGGGCGGATGTGGAGAGTCAGTTGACTAGGTACGTGGAGGAGGTGGGGCGGCTGGAGAAGAAGTGTGCTGATGAGGGCCAGGCAGGGAAGGAGCTGAGTGAGAGGCTGGCGGAGGTGCTGGAGAATGGGGTTGGTGGGATTGATTTGGAGGATTCTGCGAGTCTGGCTGCGAGGGCGGAAGGGCTGGATCCTGCTGGGAAGGTGGCGCTGCTTGCTGAGGTGGCGTCTAAGTGGCGCGCGCGGGCTGCTGAGCTGGCGAAGGAGAAGGAGAAGCTGCGGGAGGAGAAGGGTGACGTGGAGGGGAAAATGGAGGAGCTGGAGAAGGGGATGGGGTCGTGGCGGAGCGATAGGGCGGGTCTGGAGAAGCAGGTACGGCTGCTGGATGAGGGGAAAAGATTGGCGGAGTCTCGGGTTCAAGAGGTGGAGTTACAGCTGTCTGCTATGCAGGAGCTTCTAGATGATGCCAAGGCGGATTCTGCTGCTGCTGTGAGGCGCAGCAACGGTGGTATGAATGCCAGTGAGGTGGAGGAGATGAGGGAGAGCAATCAGAAGGCAAGGAGGCGGATTGTGGAGCTTGAGGGGCAGGTGAAGGCACTAGAGACGAGGCTTGCCGAGTGGGAGGTGAGGGAGCTGTCTGGTTTGGGCGGAGGGGATCGGCGCGGGAAGAGCAAGGAGCTGGAGGAGGCTCGGAAGAGGATTGCCGAGCTTGAGGCGGAGGTTCGGAAGGTGGCTGGGGAGTCCGGGGCGGGGAAGAGGGAGGTGGAGATGAGAGTGTTGAGGTTGGAAGGGGCGTGTGGAAAGCTAGAGACGGAACTCCAGGAGGCGAATACGGGGAGAAGGAGAGCGGAGGAGAGGGTAGCAGAGGTGCAGGCGCAACTGGTGGGAGTGACAACTGAGGCTAAGGCGGAGGCAGGGAGAGCAAAGGAGCTTGAGGGGCGACTGCAGCGAGCAGAGGCGAGAGAAGGGGAGTTGATGAGCGAGGTGCAGGGGCTTGAGGGACGGTTGAAGGAGATGGAGAGGGAGAAGGAGCGGTTGAGTCGAGTGCTGGGGCAGGAGGAGGCGAAGCGGGAGGCGGCAGAGGCGAGGGCGACAGCAGGGGAGGCGGCGGGGGAGAGGGTGAGGGAGCAGATGGGGAGGGACCTGGCGAGGATGAAAGAGGTGGAAGCGAAGCTGACAGTGCGGTTGCAAGGGGTGGAGAGGGACAGAGACGAGGTAAAGACGAGGGCGGGCAAGGCGGAGGAGGGGCAGAGGCGGGAGAAGGAGGAGCGGCAGGCGGCTGTAGCGCGGCTACAGGCGGAGGTGCAGCTGCTGACAGAGCAGCTATCCGCGTCTGTGAGCGCGAGTGGTAACCTGAGAAGGGAGAATACGAGTGCGGTGGAAGCAGCAGAGCTGAGAGCAGCCAAGGGTAAGTTGGAGGATCGGTTGAGGCGGGCGGAAGCTGAGCTGAGGGATGCGATAGCTGAGAGGAACAAGGCGGAGCTTGAAGTCGAGAGCCAGCGGCGGGCTGTGGCTGCTGAGAAGGCTGCGGCGCGCAGTAGGGAAGCCGCGTGGGTGGTTGAGGCGGAAGGGTTGAAGAGGGAAGCAGCAGAGGCGGGAGAGGTGGTGGTGAAGCTGAGGGGGGTTGAGGAGGAGCGGGATGAGCTGATTCGGCAGCTGGGGGAGGCAGAGGCGGGTGTAAAGCGGTTGGAAGCGGTGAGGGAGGAGCTGGAGGGGGAGAAGCGGGCGTTGGTGGCCCAACAGGGGATAATGGCAGCGAAAGTGAAGGAGTTGGAGCGGGCTAAGAGCGATTTGGTGGCTTTGCGGACGGAGAAACAGGTGCTAGAGGAGAGACGGCTTACATTGTCGCTTAAACTGGCAAAGATGGAAGAGGGGTTGAGTGAGCTGGAGGATTTGCGGGCTAAGCATGTGGTTTTGGAGGGGGAGGTGGGGGAGTTGGCGGCTAAGGCGGGGGAGGTGGTGGGGTTGAGAGAGGAGAAGAAGCGGTTGGAAGGGGTGGTGAGGGATTTGGAGGAGCGGGTGGAGCAGCTGGCGAGTGTGTCGGTGAGGGGTGGGTCTGCGGGTGGTGGGGGTAGTGCGGGGGGAGCGGGTGGGGCAGTGGCAGGTGCATTGGCAGAGGAGGTGCGACAGCTGAAGCAGCAGAATGGGGAGTTGAAAAAGCAGTTGGCGGAGGTGAAAGGAGAGGGGGATGGGGGGATGGGTGTGGGCACTGTGGGTATGGGCGCTGGTAGCGCAATGAAAGGCAGGCCCATGGGGGGAGGCGGAGGGGGGATGATGGGCGGGGGAGGGGGAGGCGCGTTCGCACGAGGGGGGCGGGCGGGGGGGATAATGTCGGCGCGGGGGGGAGGGGAGGGGGGGGCGGAGAGGCAGGTGGAGGAGCTGAGGAAGAGAACGATGGCTCTGGAGGGGGAGCTGCAGCGCAAGGCAGAGGCGCTGGCCGCTGCTGAGCGGCAGCTGGAGGCCGCCAGGCAGGCAGCATCTGGGGGAGGTGGCGGGATGGAGAGCCAAGTAGGCAAGCTTGAGGTGAGAGGCGGGATCTCCTTTGGGGGGAGTGGAGAGGTGAGGGGATATAAGAGAGATGGTGCTGGGGAGCAGAAGGAAGCTGCAAAGTCTTTGTTGGCTTCCGTACCAGAAACCTTAACATCGTTCTCCTTTCTCAACCCATCTCAACCCTCTGAACCCATGTGCACCCTTGCAGGACCAAGTGCGGTTGTTGGAGCGGACTCTGGAGAGCAGCAGAGCGACAGCAGAGGCGAGGGAGCGCAGCCTGACAGAGCGGCTGGAGCAGCTGGAGGCAGCGAATGAGCTGCTGGGGAGCAAGGGGGACAACGCCACCGCCAGGCTCAACCAAGAGGTAGGCATTAGACTATAGGTGTGGCCCCGTGGGCATGGTTTGGGTGGCATGGGCATGGGATGGAGGCCATATGCATGGGATTGGCGGTATGTGCATGGGATTGGCGGTATGTGCATGGGATTGGGGGTATGTGCATGGAATTGGGGGTATGTGCATGGGAGTGGGGGTATGTGCATGGGATTTGGGGGTATGTGCATGGGATTGGAGGTATGTGCATGGGATTGGGGGTATGTGTATGGGAATGGGGGTATGTGCATGGGATTGGGGGTATGTGCATGCGATTGGGGGTATGCGCATGGGATTGGGGGTATGTGCATGGGACTGGCGGTATGTGCATGGAATTGGGGGTATGTGCATGGAATTGGGGGTATGTGCATGGGATTGGTTGTATGTGCATGGAATTGGGGGTATGTCCATGGGATTGGGGGTATGTGCATGGGATTGGGGGTATGTGCATGGGATTGGGGGTATGTGCATGGGAGTGGGGGTATGTGCATGGGATTGGGGGTATGTGCATGGGATTGGGGGTATGTGCATGGGATTGGGGGTATGTGCATGGGATTGGGGGTATGTGCATGGGATTGGGGGTATGTGCATGGGATTGGGGGTATGTGCATGGGATTGGGGGTATGTGCATGGGATTGGGGGTATGTGCATGGGATTGGGGGTATGTGCATGGGATTGGGGGTATGCGCATGGGATTGGGGGTATGTGCATGGGATTGGGGGTATGTGCATGGGATTGGGGGTATGTGCATGGGATTGGGGGTATGTGCATGGGATTGGGGGTATGTGCATGGGATTGGGGGTATGTGCATGGGATTTGGGGTATGTGCATGGGATTGGGGGTATGTGCATGGGATTGGGGGTATGTGCATGGGATTGGGGGTATGCGCATGGGATTGGGGGTATGTGCATGGGATTGGGGGTATGTGCATGGGATTGGGGGTATGCGCATTGGATTGGGGGTATGTGCATGGGATTGGGGGTATGTGCATGGGATTGTGGGTATGTGCATGGGATTGGGGGTATGTGCATGGGATTGGGGGTATGTGCATGGGATTGGGGGTATGTGCATGGGATTGGGGGTATGTGCATGGGATTGGGGGTATGTGCATGGGATTGGGGGTATGTGCATGGGATTGGGGGTATGTGCATGGGATTGGGGGTATGTGCATGGGATTGGGGGTATGCGCATGGGATTGGGGGTATGCGCATGGGATTGGGGGTATGCGCATGGGATTGGGGGTATGTGCATGGGATTGGGGGTATGTGCATGGGATTGGGGGTATGTGCATGGGATTGGGGGTATGTGCATGGGATTGGGGGTATGTGCATGGGATTGGGGGTATGCGCATGGGATTGGGGGTATGCGCATGGGATTGGGGGTATGTGCATGGGATTGGGGGTATGTGCATGGGATTGGGGGTATGTGCGTGGGATTGGGGGTATGTGCATGGGATTGGGGGTATGTGCATGGGATTGGGGGTATGTGCATGGGATTGGGGGTATGTGCATGGGATTGGGGGTATGTGCATGGGATTGGGGGTATGTGCATGGGATTGGGGGTATGTGCATGGGATTGGGGGTATGTGCATGGGATTGGGGGTATGTGCATGGGATTGGGGGTATGCGCATGGGATTGGGGGTATGTGCGTGGGATTGGGGGTATGTGCATGGGATTGGGGGTATGTGCATGGGATTGGGGGTATGTGCATGGGATTGGGGGTATGTGCATGGGATTGGGGGTATGTGCATGGGATTGGGGGTATGTGCATGGGAGTGGGGGTATGTGCATGGGATTGGGGGTATGTGCATGTGAGTGGGGGTATGTGCATGGGATTGGGGGTATGTGCATGGGATTGGGGGTATGTGCATGGGATTGGGGGTATGTGCATGGGATTGGGGGTATGTGCATGGGATTGGGGGTATGTGCATGTAGAGGTTCATCATACCAACAAGGCCCTAAGACAAGTACATAGAATTCACTTGCCGCGTTATGCGACCCCCAAGGTTTCCCTCAACTCTCTCTGTTTTCCCACCCTCTGTAATCCCTTCCCCTCAGTTGCGCAAGGCGCAGCAGCAGGTGGGGGAGGCGCGAGTGAGGGAGGCGGAGCTGCGGTGCGCACTGGCCGCACTCAAGGGATCCGGCACTGAGGCACACGCACAGGAGGTGAGTTCGTGGGTGGGGAGGGGTGGAAGGGGCTCGGTGGGAGGGGTAGATTTCCATACAACTTGAGACGTGCGAGTGTGGGAGGCGGAGCTGCAGGCTGTGCTGGCAGCACTCGAGTTCTTACATACCCAGTCAATGTTTCACATGACACAACTCTACACTCACTCACTCATGTCTAATCCAATCTCACCCAATCTCCCCCGTGTCACCCCAGGATCCTCGCAAGGCGGCGGCGCAGCGCATGGCGAGTGGCGTGGCGGAGAGAATGGCGATTCTGGAAACGGAGCTGGCAGAGGCGCTGGAGGCCAACAACCGCTACAAGGAGCAGCTCAAGCGGTGAGTGAGGGGGGGGAGCTCGTGGGAGGAGGAAGTGATTGACTGTGTCCAGGCACAGAGTAGGACGCAAAAGATGGAGACAGAGCTGGCAGAGGCACTGGAAGCAAACAACCGTTACAATGAGCAGCTCAAGCGGTGAGTGGTGGTGGGAAATGCAGGTGGTGGTTGGTGGTGGGAGGTGGTGGGCTTTATGTGCACACACAGAGAGAATTTCGATTCTGGAGATGGAGCGGGCAGAGGCACTGGAGGCCAACAACCGTTACAAGTAGCAGCTCAAACGGTAATTGAGGGGGAGAATTCGGGTGGTTGGTTGTGGGAGGTGGTGGGAGGTGGTGGGCCGTGGTGGGAGGTGGTGGGCCGTGGTGGGAGGTGGTGGGAGGTGGTGGGCTGTGGTGGGAGGTGGGAGTGCGGGTCTACGTGCAGACGCAGAGAGGATGGCGATTTTGGAGACAGAGCTGGCAGTGGCACTGGAAGCTTACAAGAGGCAGCTCAAGTGGTGAGTGAGGTGGTGGGAGATGGTGGGTGGTCGTGGGAGGTGGGATTAGTGGAAGTGGAGAGGAGTGGGATGGCGCACACAGGGAAGGGCAAAGAGGATGCCAATTCTGGAGACTGAGCTGGCAGAGGCGCTAGAGGCCAATAACTCTTACAAGGAGCAGCTCAAGTGGGAATACCAGTGGAGGTGGTGGCAGGTGGGTGTAATTCTGAGGCGCCTTAAAGGGCACCCTCTCTTCTGTCTCCTTTTCAGTGTACTGTTCTTAGACTTCTCCCTGTCCCTAGACTTAGAAGTTTCCTTCTTCTTCTCCCTGCCCCCTGCCAGTGCACTGGCAAGTGCAGGGGCAGCTGACAGCAGTGCAGCACAGCAGTCGCATGAGGGTGAGCTGGCAGCAAGACTTGCTGACATGGCAGCACAGCTGGAGGAGTCCAAGCGGGCGGCGCAGGCAGCAGAGGGTGAGTTGGCGCGATTGAGGGCGGAGCATGAGGCAGTGGCTGCCAGGCTGGCACAGGCTGACGTGGACAAGAAGGGGGAGAGAAGGGTTAAGGGAGAAGTTGAGCGGAAAGCTGAGAAGAAGGATGAAAAGAAGAGGGAGGAGAAGAGGGAGGAGAAGAAGGAGGAGAAGAGGAGGGAGGAGAGGCGGCTGGGTTCAAGGCCTGCCAGTCCGCGAAGCAAGGTGGGGGGGGTTACCAGCAGCACTGCCACTCCTGCCAGTGCAAGTGCGGCCAGGCTCGGCAGAAGCAGCAGCTCCAGAGGCATGGGTATAGTCTAGAGGGACGGTATCATCTGGAGGCATCTAGAGAATGGGAGTCATCTAGAACCTAGGCAATCATTCCGCTAACTCTGCCCACACAGTGAGAAGGCTGTAAGTTGGCCTTCACTTGGCACAAGTATGTATGGTGTCGGGCAGATGGGATATTAGAGGGTCACAGGGACAGCAATTCGTTGTCCATTAGTTGGTAGAAGTGGATTTGAGGCTTGTAGTAGCACACCTTGCATTACATAGACTAGACTGCAACTCATGTGAGAGCTTGTAGTGGCACAAAGAAGACAAGCAAAAAGAGGTTAAAACTTCAAAGATGTAGGAATCCCCTGGTACTTGGGGCACTGCATTATAGGCAGATTCTTGTAATGACATATTCTATGGTTGTGTGAAAAGAGCCCTTGTAATTATTTGTATTGACTAAATTTGCACGTCAGTAGTCCAATGGTTAGGATATTTGCCTTCCAAGCAAAAGATCCGGGTTCGATTCCCGGCTGACGTATTGTCTTTGGCCCACTTCTTTGCATCCGCTTCACTTTTGGTTTCCCCACCTCCGTGCCCCCACTTCTTCGTCCATAACCCCTTCTTCCCATTTTCCACTCCTTTCCCCACTCTTCTGGTGCCTGTCTTCCTCAATCCCCTCATTGATCTTCTCGAATGCATGAAGTTTCATCATCTCACAATTGGTTGGCACGATATCATACACCTGAGCTATCTCAATAATGGTATGTACAACTGATTTACTTTCTTTTTTTTTAAGCACAGTATCACATTCACCGCGCTCGCCTTTTTTAGTGGTTGGTATTATAGGAGAATAATACTACTACTCAGTACAGTGAGCTTCACCCTCCAAGCTCTGCCTTGAGCTCCCCATTGGCCTTCATTTCAAGCACTATATCGCATCCACCAATCAGCTCGCCCTTGTGGTACAGCTGGGGGTACGTGGGCCAATTGGAGAGCTCCTTCAGCCCCTGCCTCACTGCCTCATCCGTGAGAATGTCAAAACTGCCGAAGGGAATGCCTTCTGACTGGAGTGCGCCCACCACCTTGCGGCTGAACCCACACCGCGGCTCCTCCGGTGTTCCCTGAATAGCAAGGGATGGTGATGGTCATGGGTACACAGCACAGGAAGGCAGGGGAAGGGGGGTTGGGGGGGTGTAAAGGCATGTGTTCAGCCCCTGCCTCACTGCCTCATCCGTGAGAAAGTCAAAACTGCCGAACGGAATGCCTTCTGACTTGAGTGCATCCACCACCTTGCGGCTGAACCCACACCGCGGCTCCTCCGGTGTTCCCTGAATAGCAAGGGATGGTGATGGTCATGGGTACACAGCACAGGAAGGCAGGGGAAGGGGGGTTGGGGGGGTGTAAAGGCATGTGTTCAGCCCCTGCCTCACTGCCTCATCCGTGAGAAAGTCAAAACTGCCGAACGGAATGCCTTCTGACTTGAGTGCATCCACCACCTTGCGGCTGAACCCACACCGCGGCTCCTCCGGTGTTCCCTGAATAGCAAGGGATGGTGATGGTCATGGGTACACAGCACAGGAAGGCAGGGGAAGGGGGGTTGGGGGGGTGTAAAGGCATGTGTTCAGCCCCTGCCTCACTGCCTCATCCGTGAGAAAGTCAAAACTGCCGAACGGAATGCCTTCTGACTTGAGTGCATCCACCACCTTGCGGCTGAACCCACACCGCGGCTCCTCCGGTGTTCCCTGAATAGCAAGGGATGGTGATGGTCATGGGTACACAGCACAGGAAGGCAGGGGAAGGGGGGTTGGGGGGGTGTAAAGGCATGTGTTCAGCCCCTGCCTCACTGCCTCATCCGTGAGAAAGTCAAAACTGCCGAACGGAATGCCTTCTGACTTGAGTGCATCCACCACCTTGCGGCTGAACCCACACCGCGGCTCCTCCGGTGTTCCCTGAATAGCAAGGGATGGTGATGGTCATGGGTACACAGCACAGGAAGGCAGGGGAAGGGGGGTTGGGGGGGTGTAAAGGCATGTGTTCAGCCCCTGCCTCACTGCCTCATCCGTGAGAAAGTCAAAACTGCCGAACGGAATGCCTTCTGACTTGAGTGCATCCACCACCTTGCGGCTGAACCCACACCGCGGCTCCTCCGGTGTGCCCTGAGAAAGCAAGGCAAGGCTGTGCGGACACGCCATGGGGAAGAGGGGGGAAACATGCGATCAGTCCACGTCTGACTTGAGTGCGCCCACCACCTTGCGGCTGAACCCACACCGCGGCTCCTCTGGTGTTCCCTGAGAAGGCAAGGAATGGTGATGGTCATTGGAACACAGCACAGAAAGGCAAGGGGGAGAAAGGCATGGTTTCAGCCCCTGCCGCACTGCTTCATCCGTGAACCCACACCGCGGCTCTTCGGGTGTTCCCTGAGAAAGCAAGGCAACGCCATGGGGAAGAGGGGGGAAACATGCGATCAGTCCACGTCTGACTTGAGTGCGCCCACCACCTTGCGGCTGAACCCACACCAGGGCTCCTCCGGTGTGCCCTGTGAAGGAACGCAGCAGAGAGCAGGGGATGAGAGCAGGGGATGAGAGCAGGGGATGAGAGCAAGGGATGAGAGCAGGGGACGAGAGGAGTGCCTTCAACCATCTTTACTAGCTAAGGTGGGCGGACACGGTCTATCACATACAACCCAACCCCTCCAACCTACCTTCATGAACAGCATGGTAGGCGAAGACGAGAGGAGAGCCTTCAGCCGCTCTTGCAACCCCTTCGTCCCATCAACCTCCCCATCCGGCGCTGCTGCTGCCGCCACTGTTCCTGGTGCATCTTCTTTCGCCGCCCCTCCCAGCACCCCTTTTTCCGCAAACACCTCTTTCAACTCCCCACTCTCGTGCATCTGCAGCACAATATCACACCCCCCAACCAACTCCCCCTTGCAATACACCTGCGGGAACGTCGGCCAGTCACTATACACCTTCAAACCCTGCCGAACCTCCTCATCTTGCAGAATATCAAACGACCCATACGCACCGGCCGTTGCAGAGCCTAAGTCCTTTTCCAGCACAGACACAACCTTAGAGGAGAAGCCGCATCTGGGGGCGCTGGGCGAGCCTTTCATGAACAGTAGCACCGGGTGGGAGGCGAGGAGAGCCTCGATTCGAGCCTTCAGGTCTGGAGACAGCTTCGGCTTGTCCGAACCTGCAGGCGGGGCGATCATTCGGGAGGGCTGCTCTGGCTGAGCAACAGCAGCAGGAGAGGCAGCAGGAGAAGCAGCAGCAGGGTAGGCGGCAGTGCGAGCGGAGTGAAGGACGGATTCGATGACTTCAGCTGCAGCAGAACCGCCCGCACTGAAGTTGGTGGCAGCAGAGGGAGTAGCGATGTGCAGCGCCACCTTGTGTGCTAGCTCAGGAGGGTTGGCGCCCTCCAGTTTATCCACCACTTTGCCATCCTGTCAAAACAAGAGAGAGAGAGGGAAATGGAGGGGAGATGTGAATGGAAGTTGGTGGCAGCAGAGGGTGCAGCGCCACCTTGTGGGTTAGCTCGGGGGGGTTTGCTCCTTCCAGTTTATCCACCTCTTTGCCATCCTGCGTGAAAAGAAGAAGAATAGAAAACAAAAACTTGATGTAAGAAAAGGGTGCGACGTGCAGTGACACGTTGTGGCCAAACTCGGGGGGATTGGCTCCCTCTAGCCTGTCTACCACTCTGCCATCCTGAAAGAGGACGGAGAAAGAGGGTAATGGAAATGGAAGGGTGGAGGAGAATGCAAATGGAAGTTGGTGGAGGGGGAGAGAGCAGCAACATGCGGTGCCACCTTGTGGGGTAGCTCCGGGGGGGGTGGTTGGCTCCCTCCAGTCTACCCACCTCCTTCAAGGAAAGGAACTGTCACACCTTGTCCCATCATACAAAGTGAGTGTGAAATGTTACCTGTAAGTGACGAGCGCAGAGGTAAGTGCGGTTGAGGGGTTAAAGGAGTGAGGTAAAGGGAGGGAAGAGGGCGGACTGTGGCGCCTCACATATCATCGACCTCCTGATAGAGCGTCATGAGACGGCATTTGAGGCGCCTTTTAAAGGAGGTGACAAAAAAAGCCTTCTCATACTAAGCTTACATTTTGTATTTCCTTCGCTGTTGTGGGTTCGTGCCATCTATTAATTTGTTTCTGCAGAAAGGCATGCATGCATGCTTTTGATAGCAATCAAATTCATGCGGATTTTTTTGGAGTCAAACGCAGCATACAAAAAGAGATGTTCCAACAACGCGTTTCGATAAAAATAGGGAGGAAGGTTAGGAGGAGCACCTTGAGGAAGAGGAAGAAGGGCACTGCCGATACAGAGTACGTCTCAGAGAGCTCCGGCACCTCCTCTGCCTCCACCTGTGCACGAGGGGAAGAGGGAGAGAAGGGGGGAGGAGGACGGGGGGGAGAAGCACGCGGGAAGGAAAAGGACGAGGGACAAGGATCCGAAAGACGGGCAAAACTGATACAGAGTATGTCGCAGGGAAGTCCGGCACCTCCTCTGCTTCCACTTGATTGATAGCATGGGACGTGGGCACAAGGGGGAAGGATAAGGGTGATGACGGGGCGTGTCTCAGAGGTCCGGCACCTCCTCTGCCTCCACCTGTGCACGAGCGGGTTGGGAAACAGCGGGGGGGGAACAAAGGGAGGAAAGGAAAGGGAAACAAAGCAGGGGAGCGGTTGATGCAACACAGAGACATCGGGGGAAGGGGCAGAGGAGACAAAGGAAGAGCTCCAGTCTTCTCTTGGTGGTACTCACTGTAAGGATTTTGGCGTGGGGATTCTCTGCTGCCAGTTGCCGAAACACCACGTCCGTGTGCTTGCAGGGATAGCACCATGCCAGTTAGAAATACACAGCCACTGTTCTCTGTTCTGACTTACCCTTAGGAACTTGGCATGGGGGTTTTCTGCTGCAAGCTGCCCGAACACCACGTCCATGTACCTTCAGCCATATGATTAGGCAAGCAACAGTCTAAAAGAATTCTTTAGCAGAGGATTAACAGTACGATCTGTTGTAATTCCTGCTAAAAACAAGGAGTT